GTTGGACTGAAAGGTCATCTGCCATTTGCACACAATGGTATGCTTGTGAGCAATCAAGTTTGGTAAACAAGCTCTTTCCTGCGAAGTGGTTCGAAGCATCGGTCATATTTGAGATCGGAAAGTTGCTGTTGATGTAGTCATTCTTGAGTGAATGGTTTATCCTTCTGAGGTCAATCAACATCCGCAATTTACCAGTTGGCTTTCGATGTGCAAATAGTGGACTACTGTATTTAGAGTGTGACAATGTTGTTATAAGTCCATAATAGTGCATAAGGGCAAGTTCCACTGTCAATTCGTGTCGCAAATGTATCGGCGTAGGTGGTCCTTGTGTATACAGAGGTCGTGTGTGTTCCGGTTTTAGTTTGATTTTGAGGTCGGAATTGTACCCAACATCGAATCTATGTTTGGCAAAGATGTCCGAAAAGTCAACAAGCAAATCTTCTACTTTTGACCTTTGGTCTTCTGTCAACACTGAATTCTCCCACTTAAAGTTCTTGATAAATTTCAATCGATCTTGACATTTCGTTTTCGGTTCAAGTTTTTCAAGACCTTGAAAATGAAGAATTTGGTCGTAAATGTCGCGTTGGATTTGAGGAAGTAATTCAGGGTTTTGACATGTTTCAGGCGTAGGAAACCAAAATTTTTCATACTCAGGTTCATGCTTCATTTGGGGCTGCTGACTATCACACGATTGTTGAATTAGCTCATTAATGCCCATTTCAATATCGTCCGGGTGGTTCATTTTTGCAAATGCAATCATTTCAGGTTCGATGGGAAATAAATTTTCTGCTTCTTTCAGAGTCAGAATTGAAAATTTCCCAATTTCGGTTTTGAAAGGCAAAGTAATGTGATGATCGGTGATGTTAAACGCTGTGATATACAACAGGTTGTTTTTCAGCACTTCGCTTATTGAAGAAGTGAACGCAATTTCACAGTTTTCTTCAAATTCCTGAGCTGGAATCACGATTCCGGTAGTTTTTTCCATGTCTTGACATGTGTTCTCTAGCTGGCATTCTACAAGAATTGTCTGATGCGGGGCTATTGTTTGACGTTTTGTCAGAAGCAAAGGGAATTTTTTCACTCTATTGACTCTTCTTGGCTCGTTTGGAGGTTTTATTTCGTTGATTTGAAGGGTCATGTCTTTGAAATGCAGTAGATTATACTTCGGACAGACATGAATATGATGTTTTTTATAGAAAGGATTTCCTAGAATTATTGAATTGGCTGCATGAAGAACGAGAAATGATTCTATAAAGGTCATGTCTGCCAATCGGAATTCTAACGTTACTTCAGTTTCAATGGAGACTTGCTGTCCTCCTGCCATTCTAACTCTCTTCAGTTTGGGTTCATTTACTTCAAGAGGGCGAAATAGCGATTTTTCTTCTTTTAGGTCTTCAAATGTCTGTTTTGAGATAACATTTGCGCAGGCTCCTGTATCGACCAGGGCTCTACGTTGTAATCCCGATGAGAACGTATTTTTGTGTACGTCAGTACTGTTCCTTCCGCAGGGATTATTGCGTAAAGGCTAAGTATCTCATCAGGTTGGAAAAGTTCGTTAGGTGATGATTTAGGTGATTTCGATGATTTAGGGGGCTGACTCAGTGGCTTTATTAGTTTTTTGGCTCGTTTGGAAACGGGAAATTTTGTCCGCGTCCTTGTTGTTTCTGTCGCCACCAGCATTGACTTGCTGTGTGGTTAAATTTTCCACAAACGTCACAAAATTTGGCTGATGATCGCACCATTGGTCCAAAAGGTCCGTTGGGATTTTGCGTTTCAGCTTGAGGCATTTGATTTGCGACAAATTGTTGCGTCGGATATTTCTGGTACTGTGGAACTGTGCTGATGGATGCATTTGAACCATTGGCTGTTGATTTTGGTTCATGTTTGGGTACTGCTGATTTTGAGGGTACAATTGCGAATATGGCTGTTGTGCAACTGGTGGCATATTGTGAAAGTTTGGCTGAGTATTGTTGAAATCAAATTTATTTTGCCAAATATTTCTACGTCTTCCGCCTCTGTTGCCTCGCTGTTGTCCATACCCATTATTTTGGTTTGGCTGATAGCCACTATACTGATCACTCTGACTGTTGTTGTTCCGATTTTGTTCGGGGAGCGGATTCGATTGTTTATTCGACTGCTCAGTTATTTGTGATATCATTTCGTTAAGCTGCTTCTCCATTTTTTCCTGATTTGTGGACAATTTTGTGATAGCGCTTATTAAATTTTCTGAGACTTTGTCGTTTGTTTCGTTAAATCCGTCTTCCGGGTAATCGTCTTTTCGGCAAATCTCACGAATGGTGATTTGCTTCTTGGTCAGGTTGCACAGTTCCTGAACTGTAGTTGCAGGTGGTTGTTCCATCAGTTTTGATCGCAGCCAGCCTGGCATTCCCTTAATGAACAGTCGTTTAGTTTGTTCATTTCGGTTGTCATGTACAGCATCTATCCTTTCTTGCCTTTGAGCAGTTTCTCGGTGGAATCGTGCTGCTTCTCCTGCTGCAGGTGCTCCAATTATTGCAGGATCAATTGGGGCGACAGCTGGCAAATCTGGTGTCGGATACGCTAGCTGCGCTTTTTTCGTTAAGTTGACCAAGAAATTCTCTGGGGTATCTGTTTTCGTGTTGAATCGCAGTTGTTCTAAATTCAAAACGTGGATTTCTTGAAGTTGGGGGTTGCAAAAGTGATCCCTTAGGGCTATGACACTCGCGGGAGCGTTCGCTCGAGTTGCTGGTCCTAGTGTCTGGTAGAATCGCAGCGCGTTGTCTCGTAGGTGCAGTTGCAAGAAGTTCGCTTGTTGTGCGTTTGGTATCGCTGCTACTCCGATGTAGCCTTGAAAAAATAGCTCGAATTCTGAAAAGTCTTCTTTTTCCGTTCCTCCATAGGGTTCGACCGAAACTTGCGCGTGTGCCATCGTATTACAGTCGAATGAATATCAGGATGATACAGTTGATGATAAGATACAGCAGTTATTCAATTTAGGGGGAACACTAGGGAGTTTGCTATATAAATTAGCTCTTAAAGAAAGCTAGTAGTATCACTGATCAGATTTATTGATGCAATTATATGGTTGTGCTAAAGGTTCCGTTACTTGACTTCTATGGTGGGGAAACTTAATGATAATTATATCAATTTACTGCAGGTTTGAGTTTCGAGTTTTGTTTTAACTAACTGTTTTTGTTGATTGTTGAAAAACCTGTAGATTTGCTTTCTTTGTCTGCCTTGTCAGTAGCTCAGCTGCCCTGCCTTCTGACTGGAACAAGAAGTAGTGATGTTGTAGGTCACAATCCACATCTGCTTCTGTAGATTGGAGAAACTTTCAGCCCGGAGATGTTGAGAAGTTGAGGCTGTCTTCTTTTTCTCCCTGTCTGTCTCAGTTGTTCGCTGAATGTTGCTCTGCTTTCCACATCTGAGCGTTGCTGGGTGAAACGGGTTGTGTTGCCCTGTTCTGTTTCAGCAAAGTGCGGTTGTCGTTGTCCGCTCGTGTGATGAAGATTGCATGTGCCGATGACTTTTGGTGAATCCAGAAGTAGAATCTTCCGCGACAGTCACCATGTGATATAGTGTCCCTTCGGATGGCCGTGGACAGCTATATCGTCGTTTATTGTTAATGTTGTAAGCTGTTCGGATAGTAATTAGCGCTACTGGCTATCAATTTTTATTGAATTGTATTCATAATTTATATGTCTCGAGCGGTTAAGACTTATCTTGCTTTTAAGGACGCAGGATTCGGTTCTTAACTTCTGAATATCGCTTGTCGATCGGCGCAAGTTAGATCATGATTCTAATATTTTATTCTCTTCAAGTCTACCCAATTGATTAGTAGCTCGGTCTAAATCTCCTATGATTGGTATTAATTACCATCAATATTTACATAGTTAAATAAATATAGATGTATGAACTTCATTTCATTAAGAAGGTTAATTATGTTATCTATTATAGCATAAGAATGCATGACGTCATGTAGTGATGTCACAGTATTCGAGAACACAATGACGTGTTTTGTTCAAACCCCTTTTTCATCAAAGCTTATGATCAAACTCTGTTTTATCATCAGCGTGAATTCTTTTAATTTTTCATTATTTTATTGAAAAGAAACCGTATGGTGCCTCTGACACTATTTTTGATGTTGAGGTTGTAATTGTTTTATTCATTTTTCACCAAATTAATTTATACCTATAAAGCTAATTTTATCTCTATAAATTAGTCGTGCGCCATCTGATCGTTAATGTAACAAATGTCGTTATTTCGAAAAACTAAATTCGGTTCATTGCCTCCTGTGTTTTAAATCTATCTAACAAATTTACCATTTTATTTTTTTCACGCTGTCAGAAAAAAGAGAAGAGGAAAAGTGAAGTAGGCTATGAATTATTAAATTAAGTGTCAAGATTCAATATTTGCGAACAGTGAGGTTGCCAGGGAAATAAGCGTGACGTAATTGTGGTCCAAAAAGGGGTGAGGATGAGGCATGGGTGTTGAAATAGGGGGGATGCAAGGGTAAGATGAGAGAGTAACCCAAGCGGGGCTGTTGGGGTGTCGCGGTTAACAAAGATCACCAGTCTCTCCGTTTGTCCTGTTTGAAAAGTAGGAGACAAAATAGCCCACAAATTAGCTCATTGCAAGTTAAGGCGAAAATAAGTTAACCGAAACATATCGCAGGTTAACCAACGTCACAGTATTTGGTTTGAAAGCTGCATTTTATTCAGAAGCGATGTAATTTTAGCCGTAACTGCCACTTTTTCTTGAAAAACCAAGTGAAGTACTATTTTGGTAAGAAAGTCTCCATTCTTTTTTCAGTCTAATTGAAAATTCGGCTGAGAGAATAGTTTTCCCAGGAGAGGTTGGATTGGGAAATTTGGAGCCTTGGGCGGGTTGAGGAGAATTAGAGACGTTGGACTGACGTTGTTGATCCGGGTGGCGACTAGCAATTGATTATTCACCCGTGCACGAACCATTTTTAGAAACTAAGCCGAATTCGCACCAGAATTTCACAAGTCGAAATACGAGCCGCCTAACCGATTATCGTTTTTTTTTGAAATATACAGTTTTGCTGCAAACTTGATAGATTTTTTTTTTTGAAAATTAAAGGCAAATTGTATGTTCCGTTCCTAAGAAGGTTTTGTCTTTACTTTTAAACAAGTATTTGAAATATTGTTTATACAACGTTTTGAATTTAAAATTTGAGAATAATTTTTTCTGCTTTTGAAAGCGACGCCATCATTTGACTTTTTTCACGTCGCTACCAATAAGTGATGGTGACATATTTGGCACCAAAGGTAATGGAGAGAGGCGGAAACTGCTTGAGGATATATAAATGTTACCGATGGAAACTTATCCATAAATGTTGTGAATTTTGGGTAAAATACCGTAGACTGCTGCAGCGCAACTTGCACAACTGTTGTAGAGACCACATTGTGTTTTTTGAATTGAAATTTGAGATATATTTGTTCTGTGTTAAATTTTTGTAGTTACTTTGAATGCAACGGAAAACAGGACTGAAAGTTTTTATCCGGCCTTTTTCTGAGCTCCCCTCATTGAAGTAGATTGAATTAAATTGGAAATGGGATGAAAATTAAATTGAATGAAAGCTCCCTGAAGAAATCGGTCTTAAAATTTATGCAAACAAACGAGCCAAGCATTCTTTGCGCTTTTAAATTGTTGTCACTTATCGCCATCGGAAAGAAAGCTGAGCTGGATTTTCATTTCAGTTGAATCCCTATAATTAGCCTATGGAAGAGTCTTCTTCAGAGCGTCTGAAGTTACTACTTCAAGAAAAAAAACAACTCATCGGCCTTCAATGCGAGTTGGTAAGTTCGACAAAATTATTAATACATTGACCTACTGCAGGTAATTGTATGTTATTAGATAGTAGCTCATTAGAACAGTATAATAACAAAAAAAGTTTTTCATTTTTTTCTAGATCCGCTTCTCCAAAAAGTAATAGATGAAATTCGGTTCCAAGCCAAGAAACAAGTCAGATAATTTAACCAAACTTAAAGAATGCTGAAAACATTTAGGTTGGCTCACCTGAAATTCGAATCTCGTTCAATAAACGTTTCCTAACTAATGAATAGTTTTGCTTAGAACATTGGAACGTAAATTTTTTTGGGAAATTGCAACAAACAAATAAAAAACGAGTTGACGATTCATGTGCTTGTAGCAAAATTTCACCACAACTGTCAATACAGCGAAAATAAATGTGAAATATTAATCGAGAAAAACTTGTCTTGAAAATACTCAAATGAACTGAAAAAATTAAAACGTTAAGCTTCATATATTAGTACAATAAAAAAAATATCATTTCTGAATAAATGGAGCGAATAAATTTTTCAAGTGAGTGACAATGTTCTGTTTTTTGTTTTTTAGAGGGTATCTGTTTTTCTTCGACCCAACAGGTGTCTGCTCTAGTATTATTGTTTTTTGACCTATTCTGAAATCGTTGTTGTCATGCTTATAAATCAATCAGTTGCCTTACTTTACGTGTGTTTCTCTAAAGGGAGTTTATTAATGAAATATTGCCAGAAACATTTGAAATTTATAATAGAAAATTCTAGTTCTTTTCGACACTTTTTCTGTTTATTTTTCGACTGCCGTTTTTGCTGCTTTTTATACCTACTCATTTGTCATGCTATGTTTGCAGTGAATCACTAGTGGTGCGGAGCTCTAGTGCGTCTGTGTTCATCAGTTGCAACCATGCTCATAGAAATGAGTAGAAATTATCCGCTCCTTTCTGATTTTTCTGCTTGTTTCCGCGTTTGATACGAAAGGTCAAAATTGTTCAAACCCATTTTTCTTGACACTGATAAAATTTTTCTAATGGTTTTTATATCTTAATGACATCTAAGAAAATTTGAATCTAACACTACACTTGAACGCGATACAATTTTTCTCGTATATATATCCTTTCCACCCTGTGAAAAATTAAAAAATCTCCCAAAAGTCGTTTTTTTTCAATTTTTTATTAATTTTGTATCTTGAAGCAATTTCTTGTCATAAAAAAATGACCTTCAAAACAAAAATTTATATAATTGAACTAAAAAAAACAAAATTTTTCGTAGTATCTTGTTCAAAGTGTCAGATGACAAAAAATTGGCTATCGGATAAGCAACGAAACAAGTCAGATCGTTATGATCCCAAAAAAAGGTATAATTGCAGATTTCTTAGCAAAATTAGAAGGCATTAAACTTGACTTGTTTCATGGTTTTTAAGACCCATATTCATTTTTTTTGGTGGAGTTTGCAGTTGTTTAGGAAAAAAAAGAACAAAACCGTTGAAATTTTGAGGCTATTATTGCAAAAATTTGAACAAATTTGGTTTTCCAAAAGAACACTTCTGTTTTAAATATTGAAAACAAAACTCAGTTACTGTACGATTATAGAAGAATGTTTCGGCCACAGTAATTATTAGGAAAATTTTTATGACGATAAGACTGCGTTACAGACGTTTACAAAATTCAAAATTTTACTGATTGGCTTTCGTTTGAGGACATATTATCCCTTCACTACTCTGCTGAAAATGTGAAAAGAAATACCGCAACAAAAATTGATTTGAATCAAGTTTATTTTGCAGAAAAAAAACTATCTTTTTTAAATCAATAGTCACTCTCTGCTTGTATGCTCTAAAAATTTTATTATGAAGTTTAGTTTTTCACTGGCTTTCCAAGACAACTTTTTAATACTAGACGCGAAATCTTTTAAAAATATGATTTTCGGGCACGGAATTCTGCGCCAAAAAGTCTGACATACTTAGTTTCAAAATTTTTTGTCTTGAAAACTAGTCACGGAACATAACCCGTGATACGCCAAAAGAAACCAGGTAGTTTTCCGGATAACAAAACAACAAATTTTTTCAGAGCGGCAGGAAAGCGCTCGTTATAAATTGAAAAATGATTGAAATGATGATAATAATGCGAACGTGTTTTGATTTTTTATCAAACTAGCTACCAGATATCCTCGTTTCTTTTTACAAGTGTTAAGTTTGCACATAAACAAATGAGCTGTTCTTGTGACATCTGTACCCTAGTATTCACTAAAATTTGTATATAGTGGGACCGTAATGCTGTATAGATTAACTTCTCTTTTACAATTTTGCCTATAGCATTTATCTTTTCATTCCGGCATACTTAACCCTTGAAAAAACTACCTCAAGGTCTTTAATCACTTTTGCATTGGTATTGCTTGACAGTGGATGACTTTTAGTATGAAGTATGGATTGCAATTATTTTGAGAAAAATTTCATAAACGTTTATTTATTTTTTTTCTAGAAAAGATGCTTGGGTGATATATTACAATAGGTGGTAGATTCAATTTCAATAGCTGGATCGCTTTTTGTTATACTTCGCCCATTATTTATAATTTATTTCAAAAGCCAAATTTTTCGGCAAAAGAAGTGTAAAAATTGAGTCTTAGAATGGCATTTCATTTGGCAGAGTAATGTAAGTATAAAAACTATCTAAATAGTAGAACAATTGATTGAAATTGAAATGACTAGATTATGCACAATAGTTCTGAAATTTATTACATGCAATATACTCAAAATTACCACCTAGTGTAACATATCACCGATGCTTGCTGCAGCTGAAAATTTTTTCAACCCAAGAACAAACGTTGCTGAATTAAAAAATTTGAAAGTCCTGTAATCGAAAAAGCTAAATCTTCATGTAACACTATACTAATCTGGCATGAGTAAAAGCTCACGCTTTGATCAATTTCAAATAAATTTTAGCAAATGTTTTCATTTACTTTTAATGTGGCATGTAGAAACTCACGAACTGATCAATTTCAAAAAGTGCTCGCATATTAGCACTTATTTCTGCAAAGCTAAAACGTTTTATAATTTTTAATGCGAAAGGAAGTGCTTCTAATCTTCAAGTTCATTTCAGCTGGTATTGTAAATCAGTCGGAGTTTCCTGTAAGCTCCTGGTGTTGTTTTGGATCACAAAATGGTTTTTATGTATCATATTCAAAAATTTGAAACAAAATTAGGGAGTCATTGAGAAAGTGTTCAAAAATGCGTCACTTAGTTTGAATTCAGTTTTCTCAATTTTTACTAGTCAAAAATCAAATCATTATTCAATAGTCTTTGTGTCTGTAAGGTTGAACCAGTTTTTTTCTGTTAAACAAAATTTATATATTAAAGCGGAAAGCTGTTTGATTGATTTTTTTCAAGAGGCTGTAATATACTTTTACACATTTTTTTTCAAATAACAAAACATTAACGGTACACAAACTATATATAAACGATTCGATTCATGAAATTTCTGCAATTCATGTTTCTTAAACCAGTCATAATTTTTTTTTTCAATGTGCTTCTCAAAAAATTTTTCAAACTATAGGTATTCGATTTATGGAATTTCTGCTTCAGATTCTTAAATCATAGTCATCATTTTTTTCATAATTTCAATGTGCTTCTCAAAAAACTTTTAGAACCAGGGTTTCCTTGTTTATTTGTTCCTCTAAAAGGTAAAATTAAACAGAATTAAGCGCATCAACTAATAGAGGTACCAAATTGCTGAATATAATGAAAAAATGATTTGTGGCCTGAAAATATTGGCGATATGGCCAAAATTGAAGATACATTTTTTTGGGTTGTAAAATCAAAAAGAATTTTATTCATGTTAATTGAAAACAATTTAATTTATTCAAGCATTCTTGTATTTATGTTCAACCCGTTGCTTAAAGGCGTCTTTCAACTTTTTTCAACCCGAATCTGTTCCAAAATTTGACGGACGCTCCCGATTGACATTCTCGATTCATTTTTTAAGTCTGTTTCAAAAAATTGCAAAAATTGAGTTTTTGGAATATCGCCATTTTTTCTGCTCATTTTCAACTCTTTGATGTAAAATTTTAAACTAAGAATAAAAATTCAGCCACGCAATTATCTCAATTAATATAACTTTTTTCAGATTCGAAAAGACCTAAATTTTGTCGTCAATATGGTCTTGGGTAGACTCTCAAGGGTGCGTATTGTACCTTCAGTCTATTCACTCCATTCTTGTTTTCAGTACAACAACTATGTTAATTTTCTGAATTAATGTTCTTAATTTACTGTTCTGCAGAAAAATTTCTTTCTTTCTTTTTTTTTGTTCATGACTGGATCACGTTTTTTTTACTGAACTGATAAAATAAAGTCACTGAAGAGAATATAACTTAAATTTCCAGTCAAGTAGAAACAAGAACTTCAGCTGAAAATGTCACATATTCCTTTTATGCTTATTATATAAACCGGATTCGATTCGTTACCTTTGACGTCCCTAACTTCCATTGCCAATGGCCCGCTTGCGATGACAGACAACAGAGTCGTATGATTAAGAACAGTCACCTTCTATCAACTAATTTAATTTACCCATCCTTAAAGCTGTTACTTTCTGTTTTATATTGTCACAAGTAATTAGTTTTTAAAACGATTTGAGTTGTGCCCAATTGCAAACCTTTCTACGGATTTTTCAGCTTTTTCCAAAAATCAAAAGAAGATATCGAAAGTGGTATCGGAAATCTTTCTCAGATCACTAACTTGAGGTGTAATGAATCTATGACAATTTGTGTAAGTTTTTGAAACAATTTTGAAGCGTGTTGTTTAGATAGACAATAAAAATCAATTTTCTGAGCGATCTCAAAACGCTATGAAGGCCAAGTTTTGAGCAGTTTTTGAACGATTTTGTCGAAAAATGTCTTTATCGCCGTTCGCTCACTTTTCAAATTTTGCTTGAGCATATTGGCGCCAAAATGGCCTTCAAAAAACTTTAAGGGTTGTTCAATCAAAAATGGATGTCGTAAACATGTACCAAAGGAGGGCCCTTCAGTGGTGG